GACTCTGCTTCGTCCACGGTGAAAGCCGATCTGGCGATCCACAGCGTGAAGTTGTTGTATTTCCTCAGCGACCAGCACGGATCAGCTCTAGGCATGACGAAGCAGATATCGTCCTCTTTTGGAAGGCCAAACAAAGTAGTTTCGCTTTCACAACGAAACGCACAGCGCCTTCACGGCATGGCGGCGGCGGCAACAACAATACTACAGCAAGAATAAAAGTTACGCCGCCTTTCTTTGCGTGAACATTTGGGCGGCGTTATGCAAATCTTCACACATTGTGACGTAGATATGTTGGGGGTGTGTTAGAACGAGCCGTTTTAGGTAGGCGTGGTTGACTCAACTTTTATAAAGAATATCTCTTTGGATTTGAGACTTTAGTCTTTGCAACTTTACAGATCTTCTTTATGCACCAAGAGCTTGTAACACTCCAAAGAGAAAGGAAAAAATTAAATTGCATCATATGACCCCTTTAAATGTTTAAAAGAACAGTTCACCCAAAAATGAAAATGTGCTGATTTACTCACCCTCAGGCTATTCAAGATGTAGATGAGTTTGTTTCTTCATCAGAACAGATTTGGAGAAATTTAGCATTTCTTCACTTTTTCACCATTTAATCCTCTGCAGTGAATGGGTGCCGTCAGAATGAGAGTCCAAACAGCTGATAAAAGCATCACAATCATCCACAAGTAATGCACATGACTCCAGTCCATTAATTAACGTCTTGAGAATTAAAAAGCTATAATTTTGAAAGAAAAAAAATCAATCGTTAAGACATTTTTACTTTAAACCATTGCTTCTAGCCAAAATAATCCACAATAATGCTTCCTCCAGTGAAAAAGTTGTTCACTGACATTTGTTTAGAACTGTTTTGGACCTTTTGCTTGTAAACTGTGCTTAATCTGTGCATACTTATTCAGATGAGATTACTACTTTTTCACTTGGGAAAGCAATATTTTGGAGGTTTATAGGCTTGTATTATAGCTGTAAACAATCGTTTAGAATTAAAACACCTTAATGATGGACAAACACACAGCTTTTTGCTTCACAAGACATTAATTGAAGACTGGAGACTGTATTACTTGTGGATTATTGTGATGTTTGCACCCATTCACTGCAGAGAGTGAGCAAGTGATGTAATGCTAAATTTCTCCAAATTTGTTCTGATGAAGAAACAAGCTCAAACATCTTTGATGGCCTGAGACTTCATGAAGAAACAAGTTTTTTCTGCATGTAGGTTGATAGACTACTAGGACTCTTCTTGCTTTCTTTTCTTTTTGCTTCCCATGGTTTCTCATTATTACATCACACTAATTTGTTTGATTTGTTTAAAATGGCCATTGACATTTTGTTGGCTGAATTTCTTGTCACATACAGTGGAGATCAAAATTAGAGAACAATCTATAAATACTTGATTTTTTTTCTGAAATATTGTTCATCTTTATCGCTCAAAATTTGAAGGAATATTAGCTGTGGTTATACCGATGTTATATTAACATGTTTGTCAAAATTACCAAGGCATTTCATCTGTGAAATCTGTGGCCGCAGGACATCACTAGTTTCTCACTGTGCTGGTGTGACCTTGGTCCACTCTTCTTCCACTCTCTTCCATAGGTCGGTAACTTTAGTGGGTTTCTTAGCCATAACTTTGTTGCCAAAGATTTTCAGTTAGGTTTAGATCAGGACTCTGGGCCGGCCATTTCATTATTTCAGTGTTCTTAGCTTCAAGGAACTGCTTTACCCGTTTTACAGTGTGACGGGGGCATTGTCTTGCATGAAAATTGCAGGTTGATTGGAAGATGCTTGCTTGTAGGGAAGGAGGTGCATATTGCTGAAGGTTCTGATAAACATTTGCATTCACCCTGCCATGTATCTGTATAAAAGGCCCAACTCCTGCTGCAGAAAACATCCCCCAAACCATGACACTTCCTCCTCCACCTTTCACTGACTTTATGCACTTGGGGATCAGTTTTTCCCCAGTTTGATGCCGAACATAATGTTTCGCATCAGACCCAAATAAATTAAACTTGCTCTCATCACTAAAGTGAACTTTGGACCAGTTCTCCTCCGTCCACACAACATGCTCCTCAGAAAAGGTTTGTGTAGCCTTATGATTCTTTTTGCTGATGAGAGGCTTTGTAACTGCAGAGTGCGTTTTCAGTCTGACTTCTTTTAAACGTGCCAAGACAGATCCACACCCTGTTCAGCACTGAACTGGCAAGCATTTCCAGCTGCGGTGTTGAACCAATTCCCCATTCAGAGTCTCTGCATTATCCTGTCTTCTCGTGAATGACCAGCCTTTTTGGGGGACTTGAATGAATTAGTGTCATTGTAAACCTGCAGTTTTCGAGAAATCACAGATTTGGAATGACCAGTTTCTTTTGCGGTGGCTGAAAGGGTCAACCCTTTGGCTTCCATCTGATCAACCTCCTGTTGCAGGGTTTCAGTCACAGCCCGCCATCTTGCTATCTCAGTGAAAATTAGAGGAATGTTGCCAGTTAAATGTGGTTTGTAATATAATTAAGGAAATTAGCACCAGGTGCCAAATTAACACAAATAACTTGGAGGTATCTTTTGTGATGACATTAAAGTGGCCATGGGCAGGTTAAAGGGTTAGTTCACCCAAACATTTAAATTAGCCCTTTTTTTTGTGGAAGGGTGCTTTTTATTTCACGTCATTTGAACCGAAGCACTGCAACACCCGCTGAGTACAACAATGATAGAGCTTGAAAGATCAAAGACAATTTTTAATATAACTCCGACTGGATTCGTCTGAAAGAAGAAAGTCATATACACCTAGGATGACTTCAGGGTGAGTAATTTATGGGCTAATTTAAATGTTTGGGTGAACTAACCCTTTAAGCTAGTGGATAATTTTTCTTGGATAATTTACCCAAAACAGCCTCTAGGATGTGCTGTTTCTGATGTTCTGTGACTAGAAATATCAGGACAGAACATGCCTTTATACATAATCTCAAAGCCACATAATATATGGATTGTAGTTAGAAAGCAGCAGTCTTATAGGCTGATGATACACGGGGCAACTTTTTTTGAGCAATGTTGCTTGGGCACTTTCACATTGCGAATGGATAACAAATGTCTATCTGGATACTTTAGATCGGTCGTGGGCCCTGTGTCTCATCTGGTTGCCCGTTGGCGGCAACACTGCCCAAAGTTGCCCGGAAGCGTTGCTCAAAAAGTTGCCCCATGTATCATCAGCCGTAGTGTGGCCAAAAACACTGAAAGTGACATTATGTGTAGGTATGTTTGTTGTTGTTTTTTAGGAGCAAATGAGAGAACAGCTTATCCACAGCAGCATGTTATTTCTGCTGCATCCAATTAACCTTCCACTAATCCAGTGGCTTGTGGAGCCAGCAGTAGATCACGGTCAAATACAGGCTATCAAAGTGTGGAAAGTCACTGTAGATGTGCATGTGAGTATCAAAGTCGGCTAAAAATAGAAGCGATAAGAGTAATAATGGTGCACAACAGTACAACTCGGATACAAAAGACCTCAGTGGATAAACAAGCATCAGCTGTGTTGAGTGCTGTTATGCTCATTCTTGGATGCAAGTTTGTGTTGCATGAGTTGGGAAATATATACTGCATTGATTCCTCGGACAGTAAGATTACTGATCAGCACATGTAACTCTGAAAGGGGAGGGAAGAATAGAGAGAGAGAGAGACAGAAAGAGTCTAAGGGGATTAGAAGGCTTCTCTCAAAACCGTGCCCATGCCAGACTTTCATCCTCACTTTGAACTATTGGTGAATTCTCCAACAAGAGACAGATTTGATCACAGAGCAAGTGAAGAAAAAATGGGATAGTTTAGGTATAAAAAAAAAAAAAAGAGGCTTGGGTATGTATGTGATAATCCGAAACCAAGGCTGGACTTGACTACAACCGGTTCTTGAAGAGCAGAGGATATGATATGGAAAAGGTGCATCTAAAAGATCTTTGATTTCTGGTTCCAGTGGTTTTCTTCTCTTCATACCATCAAGAACTGGTGTTTAGGATTACCGTTCATTATGTGACAGTCTCATTCTGGATCCGACGTGGTTTTTGCTTTTGTGTTCCACCTGTTGGATAGTTAAATGGTGCTAATAACTGAGAATGGTGTTGCAGGAGGTATACTTCTGGTCAAAGATCACCAACACGGCACCGGCCAAAACCGAGCGAGAGGCAGGAACAATGAAGAGTCTTCGATACAGAGCTCCACTTTTGTGGAGCCAACAGAGGACTCTTATTATGCAGATGATGAAGACCACCATCTTGATGATGATGATGATGATGATGACATCTACCAAGAATTCGAGGAGTTGGACTTTTCAGAACTAGCCGATACCAAGAGCATTGTGTCAGACGATTGCTTCTACCCACCTGATGATTCGCTCAACTTTGAAAAATGTCAGAATCCTGAGAGCCCCGAGCCATAATTCTCCAACAAGAGACAGATTTTATCACAGAGCAAGTGAAGAAAAAATGGGATAGTTTAGGTATAAAAAAAAAAAAAGAGGCTTGGGTATGTATGTGATAATCCGAAACCAAGGCTGGACTTGACTACAACCGGTTCTTGAAGAGCAGAGGATATGATATGGAAAAGGTGCATCTAAAAGATCTTTGATTTCTGGTTCCAGTGGTTTTCTTCTCTTCATACCATCAAGAACTGGTGTTTAGGATTACCGTTCATTATGTGACAGTCTCATTCTGGATCCGACGTGGTTTTTGCTTTTGTGTTCCACCTGTTGGATAGTTAAATGGTGCTAATAACTGAGAATGGTGTTGCAGGAGGTATACTTCTGGTCAAAGATCACCAACACGGCACCGGCCAAAACCGAGCGAGAGGCAGGAACAATGAAGAGTCTTCGATACAGAGCTCCACTTTTGTGGAGCCAACAGAGGACTCTTATTATGCAGATGATGAAGACCACCATCTTGATGATGATGATGATGATGATGACGTCTACCAAGAATTCGAGGAGTTGGACTTTTCAGAACTAGCCGATACCAAGAGCATTGTGTCAGACGATTGCTTCTACCCACCTGATGATTCGCTCAACTTTGAAAAATGTCAGAATCCTGAGAGCCCCGAGCCAATCAGCTTCTTCAAAGCATGCTGCACTAACAACGCCATCATTGTCAAAATCATGATAAGACAAGGTGTGACCGAGGAGGAGGTACGAGAGGTGGACAAAAATAACAGAGTAAGTTTTGCTACAGTTGTGAAATGTGTATTTCCTATGCCACCAAACTGAAATGTAAAAATTATTGTTTTCCCAAACCCTGCCATTAGTCAGACAAATAGAAAGTCCCGCCCCCAAACTCACACCATTGGTTGAATCAGTGCTGTTAGTTGGGATGCTCAGTGTAGGAAGTCAAACTCTACAGCTGCAAATGGCTTACTTAAACTTCTCTGCATAATATACAAAATAACATTTAAGCTTTAAATATTGTATTGATCTTTTATTATTTGCAAGAGTATAGAAGACAGGATCAAACACCAGTTGTCACTGAATATTAAGGCTCACATTCGGTTCAAAGACAGCTCTGAATATATTTAATTGGTCTTAAAAGGTAAAAAATTAAATATCTATTTGAACTAATACCTAGTTGGCCTTGGGTTTAGTACCACCGGTGGTTGAAACATTATCAGTCATAAGAATTCAACTGCAGGAATGTACTCATGCAGGAAAATCTATCATTAAGATTGCTTTGAGATTTCTAAATATTGGAACAACAAACATTAATTTCCAGAATCCATTCAATCAAACCTTGTGTTTAAAGAGTACCATTCTTGACTGGCAAAAGGCCTTTCACTCCCCTTAGCTCTGAGAAGCTTACAATTATGACAATGTGGGTGATAACAGTGTCATGTTTATGCAAGGCTATTATCATATCAAAGAGTCTTTAAGCATGCATGATTCACGCAGTGCTCCTCAGGGAATGCGCTGAGGCTGTCTCCTTCCTCCAGAAATATCGACATTGTGCTGAAGTGAGGCTGAGACTTTCATGCATACATAAATATGACTTTAAAAGCACAGTCTTAGGAAAGAAATCTGGCTTTGATGGCAACTTTAAGCAAAACATGTGCCTTCTTGACACATGATAGAACTGTGTTGAGTCTATAAATATTATATCATAGTGATGTTTTCATTGACGACACCCACCACATAGTCAATATATGTAAATGAAATGGTCATCAAGTCCAGTAGTTTACAAACTGCTGTCCAGGGGCCTGCAAGCTGGTGCTAAGGGGTCTTATGGAAAAGTTCAGAGAAAAAATTAATGAATACAGAATATAAATACAAAATAAAGAATTTCACATTATATTGTATTCATTGTGCTTTCATGAGATTAAACACAATTCAGTAAAAAAAAATTAATAAAAAGTTAAATATGTTAAAAAATATATTTTATTTGTTTTCCCCAGTATAAATGTGACTTCATACATTAAAATATAGAGTGGCCTTTATATTTTAGGAAGAGGGTCCCTCTCAAGGGAATCATCACATTCTGTGGCATCAAAAAGTTTGAAACCCCTAGTCCAGTGTTGTTAATGTTGTTAACTAAAACAAAAATTGTTTTTGTTAATTGAAATAAAGATAAAAATTAATTAAATAATCACTCGGGGGAAAAAAAAATTCCTTGGCAAATGCATGAAATAAGTTGAAGTACTAAAATTGCTACAACTAAAACTGAAATCGATATTAATTAAAGCTAAATATAATTTTTTTTTTAAACGTATAAAACAAAGCACAAAATTGCTAAACAAAGTGAAAATGAAAACTGAAACCATAAAAATAAAAGCTAATTAAAAGTATGAATAAATGCCAAAAAATACAGCTAAAATAACACTGATAGTCTGGCTGAATTATATATATATATATATATATATATATACACACACACACACACACAAACGATTCAAGACATTTCGAAGTCAAATATTTGTCTTGACTTGAAGTCCAGTGACGTCCAGTGTTGTGACACTGATCTCCAGCTGACATCTCATGAGTCTGCACCCAGCCAGCTAAGCCCTGGAACAGATGGGAGTTTGGATTGCAGTCTGAGATGCAGCCCAATCAGATCGTAATCATGCCTGAGCTTTTAAAAGGCTCATGAAGATGTCAAAATACTGCAGGGCTCTGCCTAGACAGGGATTTTTTTCTGCATGTCATATGGGGAGAAACCCTAATTTGTCCATGAAGCGCAGAACTTATAATGTAAGCGTAATTCCACTCAAAGGAGTCTGGCTGTAGGCCATAAAAGCCTAACTTTGAATCCGCCACCCACTGTCATGCTAAATTATATGTGAGAATTGAGATGACTTCCTTCCTCAATGAATCATTTGAACTCAAATTGCATTGACTACTGCTAAACGTGTCTGTCTTGCTTAAAATAGAGCTATAATAAATGAAGCATCACCTATTGCCCCCTCCTTTGTGCCTCCGCAGTTACTGAGACCATGTCGGTATTGAAAAAGATTTGGCGCCTGGTACAAGCATTGAATTTGTTAATAAACATCTTATTTAACTATTCATCAATGTTGAATGACACTCTATCTAAGACTGTACGCTTGGTCTATGACTCACTCTTAACTCAGACGGTGCAGTTTGAAAACTTAATGTTCTGAACGCAAACAGAAACAACACACGCACGGAAACAAATGGTTACTCACACAGAGACAGAAAAGGCTCTTGTTTTCCCCAAAGCAGAAGGCTCTGTGGCAGTAAAAGACATGTAGTCGTCCTTTAAGACTCTACGACCCATTTGCATGTAAATGTCTCCACTAACACAAGCCCTGATCATTTGTTTAATACAAATGTTATTCTACTGCCATTAGCACGGGGGAAATTATATGTGCAGCACAGTTAAACAACGCCATTAAGAACTAATATTTAATGATTCTGTTTATCAGTCTCGGGAACGATCAACCTGTTTGCAGCGCTGATAATTAAAACAGAAAAATTGAAGGTTTTTGGTTCAGGAAACCCGCTGTCTGTGGGGATGCACATCCGATAGCTTAAAGTTTTAGATTTCACCTTGAAGTTTGTATTCACCTTCACTGTTGAACTCCTGTTGATCTCGGGAAGGGGAGCTTTAGGAGGTTAGAGAGGCTTTCCTTTACAATCATCTTACAACAGCATGACATTTCACTTCCCTGTGAGACTGTGTTGTGTAACCTGATACAATCCCTGTGAAGTGTCATTGGGATCTACCACTAGGTAGAAATTGCTGCATCTCATATAGTAATGGCTGTTGGCCTGTAATAACCTTTATATATTTAAAAAAAATAAATAAAAAAATAAAAAACATTAATATTTGCAAGGGAGCCTCGGTGACTAAGAGAAGACAGACAACACGTCCTAAATTAGCTGCACATCGATTGCATTATAGCAATAATCATATTCAGTTTCTTGATATTCTGGAGTTAAGAACCATAAATGCCAGCAGACAGGCGCTCTGAGCCCAGAGGGAACTCCATACTAAATCTTAGCTAATAGTCTTTATAGGGCTTACCATCTGTCTGTAGTGCTCTATAATCACTCACAATCTGGAGACACACAAGAAAACGGAACTGCTCTGTACTATTCAAGTAATGCCTCTGACCTCATACATTTGTTTTTATTCCCTCATAACCCTCACTCATCTGTGCCTTTTAGATTTGCTGAATGTTTTGAGATTTTACATATGATACTACACTCGGAGAGCGGGCCTCTCTGTGTTTGCACTGCATTTGTCTATGACTGTACAGCTGTATAGTTTGTTATGCTTGATTGTTAGACATTGCAAAGAATATTTGTATCTTTAATTTTACTGTATTTAGATACCGCTAACTTATTAAGAGTCTAAATGACATTTTTAATGTTAAAATACTTTCTTAAAGGGGTCATCGGATGCCCATTTTCCACAAGTTGATATGATTCTTTAGGGTCTTAATGAAAATTCTGTAACATAGTTTGGTTAAAATTTCTCAATGGTAGTGTAAAACAACACTGTTTTTACCCTGTCAAAAACAGCTCTTTTCGGAGCAAGCTGTTTTCTTGCATGCTGCTTTAAATGCAAATGAGCTCTGCTCACTCCGCCCCTCTCTTCCGAGCTGCTCTCTGAGATGGTAAACTTTAGCCGAATTCATCGTGAAACTTGCTAACTAGCACGTTATTAGGAAAGGCGATTTGTAAAGATTCATTAAAAAAACCTTACACTCACTTCTCGACGTGAAGCTGGATCACAAATGATTCGCGCGAAGATAGACACATTGTTTGCAAAAACAAATGTAATCCACTGCGTAAATGACGAATGCTATGTTAATTATTACATCCGACAACAAAACACTTCAATCGCTTAGGAGACATTCTTGTCTACAGTACATCTGCTCCGGCGTCGAAACAATGGCGGCCTGATGACAGCTCACTCAGGGCAGGTCTAAGGTAAGACACCAGTCCAGTCTGTACTGAAACGCTGCTGTCAATCAAACTATCGTGGGAGGGGCCTGTCTGTGTGACGTCATACAGACAGGCATCTGAGATCGGCTCGATTTGAGAAAGGAGAAATTATTTAACGAGATTAAAAAAAAAACACTGGGTGGATCTTTATCATTATAGGGTGGTTGTGTACACACACTGCCAACACACATTTCAGTTCAAACAGCTTGTAAAAGTGCATGTGGCATCCGATGACCCCTTTAATACTTGTTATGCATAAAACAACTATAAGTCATAAACTAGATTTTGCTCAAACATGTAAACACTGTGGCACTTTCAAAACATTGTTTGTTTGAGTGACACACACATACTCAAACGTACACTGGTTTAACCAATGGCATGAGTTTGAAGGTGGGGTTATCACATGTCCAACCAATGGAAAATATAACTTATGAAATAACTATATAACTAAATATCTATCTATATATCTATCTATATCTATCTATCTATATATAGATATATTTACATTTAGTCATTTAGCAGACGCTTTTATCCAAAGCGACTTACAAATGAGGACAATGAAAGCAATCAAAATCAACAAGAGCAATGATATACAAGTGCTATAACAAGTATATATATAATTTTTTTTTTTTTTTTTTTATTAAATTTTCCTGGTGAAAAACTACATAATCCATGATTGTGTCCAGAAACCTCTACCAGTCAGAGAAATTAAACGAGCAAATTAACAACCAAATGAGAACAAAATTGCTTATAACTCTTGAATGATAACCTTTTAAAAATACGGCACACTTTAATATAGGGACCAATTCTCACTATTAACTAACTATTAACTATGACTTTTGCCTCAATAAACTCCTAATCTGCTGCTTATTAATAGTAAGCAAGGTAGTTGTTAAATTTAGGTATGGGGTACAACTAAGGGATCTAAAATATGGTCGTGCAGAATAAGGCATGTGCTTCATAAGTACTAATAAACAACCAATATGCTAGTAATAGGCATGCTAATAAGCAACTAGTTAATAGTGAGAATTTGTTCCTAAATTAAAGTGTTACCAAAAATACTTCCAGAAGCAAGCCCCCTGAAAACATGGGGAGGCACTGTTGCACACTCTATGCTTTTTGCACACTAGCCTATAAAATATGGAAGTATGCATATTCAAACTCGGGAGGAAAATCAATTATTTTTGCAAAGGGTTATTTGCACTTAGTATAAATAGACAATTTGTTCATTTTTATTTTATTTGGAAATGTATTTTAGAATGTCTCCACCTGTAAAACCCATAGAAATATGCAGTAGTGACTAACTATATTTACCAGTCTAAATATGCTTCTGCATTTACTCTGAAGATCATGAGCTCATCAGCCTCATAAATAAGGCCACTCAACCCAGGTCTCTCATACCCTCAGAGTCCCTCCAGAGATGGATGTGGAAACTCACCCTCCAACAATCCCTACCCTTAAATGAATGTTTATATAGTAGGGTTCAACCACTTAAATGCCTCTGCAGTTTGCACGTTAAACACTTTCTTCAGCAGTAATGATGGACATCCAGGAAAATGACTTGAGATGACTCATATTTTTCCTCTCCACTGCTCAACAGACGGGTCTGATAGTGGCATGTTACCAGGGCTATGTGGATGTGGTCATTGCACTTTCTCAGTGTCTATATGTGGATGTGAACTGGCAAGATAACGAAGGGAATACGACTCTCATGACTGCTGCACAAGCAGGTAAGGGAAGTGATGCAATTCAGCTATCAAAGGCAATAAAATTACAATCAGCAACTCCCAGTAGATCCCCCTGGGCCTTCATTTGGCTGTTCTATGAAACAAGAGCCAATGTATTATCCTTTATCATACTTAGGGTTAGTCGTGATGAAACAGAAGTAGCAACAAATATGTTCTTCAGTATTGGGGCATATATCCCTAAGTGAAAATGATTATTGAAAAGGAAAATAAATTAAGGCGATGTCTTGGTTCAGGCAGGAGGCAGATCTGAATGCGAGTTTGCAGTAAATTGTAAGAAAGGGACTAAATGATTGGAGATTTTGATGAAAAATGATGAGGTATAAAAATAAAAGAAACGCATGTATAGATTAACCATTCAGAAAAATGTCCAAAAAAAAAAGCATGAAAATAGAGAGGATGAAATTTCATTTCATGCCAGCTTTAAGGATTTGAACATACCCCAAAACTTAAACTTCAGCAGTGTTTGTTACAGAATCACACATCAAATCATGATTGTTCAGGAGAGAACTGTGATTACTTTTCAAAGGACCAAACTTAGATGTTTTTTTCTCCTCAGGAACGCTTAAAAGAGAAAAAAAAACATCTATACACAGAATGACTGAAGGAACATGTATAGGGACTAGGGCTGTGACGATAACCGCATTACCGCATAACCGCGGTTATTAAGTTAAATAATATTAATGATAATTTGCTGTTAAATTATTAAAAACTGTTCCATAATTCCTATTAAACTCAAAAGATATCGAAAAAACAAAGTTGAAATAAATGTAATTTTATTTTATTATTGTTCACATAATTTGCTGTTTTAATAATAAAGAAGACTGCTTTATTATTATTCATTTCCATGTTCATTTACAAGCTGAATGCTTTCTTAAATCATTATATTTCCGCAGCGGGAGGGGGAGGGGGGTTGCGATTAACCGCCAAACCGCGGTGATTTGTTGCGTCTTCACCGCGGTAAGAAAAATCCCATACCGTCACAGCCCTAATAGGGACTAGAACATTATAAACTTGGGTCAGAAGCAGACACCTAGCAACCACCCAAAACACCCTAGCAACCCCATACAAAGACACTAAAAAAGCTTCATAGAAACGCCCTGACAACCCATTGTGGCAGTAACTTTTGCATGGGCTGGCAGTTTAAATGGTTATAACTGGTTAATACTGTTTATATTGCATCTGTATTTCTGAAGCTCAAACAGTGGAGCATGGAGTTCATGGGTTCGATTCTCAAAGAATGCTTGAACTCATAATATTACTTTGAATAAGTGTCTGCCAAATGCATAAATGTCCTTCTGAATTATAGGCCACAGTATGATTACCAACTACCTGCTGAACTATTTTCCCGGGCTTGACACTGACTGCAGAAACTGCCATGGCTTCACTGCGATGATGAAAGCAGCCATTCAGGGTCGAGCTGAATGCGTTCGGTCTCTCATGATGACAGGTATCATCAGCTGAAAAATTCATATGGATTCCTAATTCAGTTCAAGCATACGTAATAATCTTCCATTTTGTTCCTCAATGTGGGCATTAATTTTCCCTCACAAGACCTATTGTCTGATGTTTTTCCTTATGCAGGAGGAGACATTGAAGCAAGGGACTTTGGCCGTAAGCTGACTCCACGTGAATGGGCCCTGTTTACGGGCCGCTATGAGACTGCCAACCTGATGGCCCGACTGATGGAACAGCCATGTGCCGGACAGTTTTGTGACTCTTACCACATGGAGTGGCCTATGCTAAGCAAACTGGTGGCTCATTCAAAGGAGCCCAAGTCCTGCTGGAGAAAGTTCTCCGAGTGCATCTGTAACTTGTTTACCATCAGCATGAAGACCAACCCTTTGGATGAAGGCGTCATGGACTACATGGTGCGCATGACCACAGCTCTTGCCAGCCCGTTCATAGCCACCGCCTGCCACACCGTGTGTCCGGGCAGCCCTCCGTGTGTAGGAAAACGTAAAGTGTGTTCGTAATTAAGGTAATACATTCAAATAATATGGTAAGACACACCAGTTTGCAATATCAAGCAGCAAAACAAGTTGTTTTGTACAGCTAAAAATAGCTGGAAGGGAATGACAGCGGAAGCTAGACCCATAAAATTTACAAATGGGCGCGGGAGAAATAAGGTGGATAGGATTTTATACGTGTCTAGGGTGCTTTAACACTTGGTTCGATTGTCTGGTCTGAACCCGAGTTTGGCGCTGCATCCGAAAACGTAGGCAGCTGACTTGCTGCCGTATGAGGCAATGACGTTGTAGGCAGCGTTTTTGCACGAAGGTACCTCATAAAACTGATTTCGGACAGGCTTCTGAGACAGCGTAAGGGTTTAATGATCTACAACAAAATATAACAAGTTTTTGTGATAACTAAACGAATATTTAATTACTACAATACTGATTTCTCGCTAGAATTAACATCAAAAGTGCAAAAAGTTAGTCAGAAATATACATTTGCACACAAACCACCAAACTCAACTTTCAGACGCCATCTTTATTTTTTTTAGTTCAACCGTCACGGCATGGAACGCACAGGATTGTGGGATATCAAAGGCAGCAAAGGATACATCTATGCTGCCTTCAAAATTCGATCAGAAGAAGGTACCTCCGGAGACAGGAATTGAAGCAGAATTTGGATTCGTACGTGCCTTGATGCCTTCCTGCCTTGGAATGCTGCCTTCGAAGGCAGCATTTTATAGTTTTCGGACCAGCCGGGTTTGCGACCCCTCCCCCACCCCAGCAGCTGTCTACCACGTTGCTTAGTAACGACGGCGCAGGAGAAGGCGGCAAAATGTGTAGCTTTGCTCTCTCTTTTTAAAACTCGGGTTCGGACCAGGCAATCGAACCAAGTGTGAACCGATCAGTCAGTTTACTCATGTTCAAACTGGGTGTTGAATTAGGTGTCATAATGAAACGATTCAAATGTATTCCTAAAAAGTAAACTCACTAGACGGTTTGAACCGCGCCGGTTCGTTTAGCCGGCCCTGGCCCGGTTGGAAGAGGTGGGCCAGGGCACGGTTCGGTTGGGCTCGGGCGCGGTACGCATGCAGTGTGAGCGCTAACCGCGAACAGATCCTATTTTGTGTGCGCTACTGTCATCATTACGACCTACTACTACTACACTACACTTTTCAATAAATTTAATTCAATCAAGTATATTTAGGTTTATAATGGCTCTGGTTCTTACCTTATTGATGAACAGGAAATGTTTGCGAGTAAAGCTGCAAATTATTTCATTAACCTCAGCTGTCTCCGTAATAATTTTCTGATACATAGGCCTACAAGTGAAAATCAATGCACGGCATAAATTATAAATTAATTATTTTTAATTATTCGGCAGAATATTAGCGAAAGTGGTTTTCTCCGTTATCTCATACATGACGTAAGCGTGCTCCGGCCCGGAAAGTTTAGTGCAAGTGTGAGTGCAGGCCAGCGGGGGAGTGGGGAGGGGGGATCATTCGCGCTCGGGCTCGGTTCAAGGCAATCGTGCCTAGTGTGAGTACACGCTTAGAGTGTACTCACACTAGGCGTTTTGAACCGTGCCCGAGCGCGTTTGACCCCCAAAGCCCGGTTCGTTTGGTTAGTGTGAGCGCTCGGGCGAGGCACGTTTAGTCGGCCCTGGTCCGGTTGGAAGAGGTGGGCCAGGGCACGGTTCGGTTGGGCTCGGGCGCGGAACGCATGCAGTGTGAGCGCTAACCGCGCCGGAGCACGGAACAGATACTATTTTGTGTGCGCTACTGTCATCATTAAGACCGCAAACATATTCTATTAGTACTACTACACTTTTCGCGATAATCGGGCTCGGTTCAAGGCAACCGTGCCTAGTGTGAGTACACCCTAAAAAAGAAATTACTATAAGGCTACTATAAGTCTGAGATAGTCTAAATAGGTTTAGATTTGAAATCTACGTTGGATAAATTAGACAAATATCAATCATAAAGATGTCAAATGATGTGTTGAAATCCTTTAATAACAAAGCAGTTTATAAGGGGTGCATCTGCACCAGCAATGCAGAGTGAAATGGGTAGTAAACTTCCAGTAGGCTAGTGGTCAGTACATCTAGGCTCATGTTCCCAAAATATACAATCCAGACATGTGGCCATATTCGCTCTCAAAATGCATTTTGCAATCTAACGCGCTTACATTAGCAATAAAAACAAAATTCACATCACACCATCACCACATTTCTTTGCATCAAACTGGATTAATACTCTCTTACAGCATTGCTGAGATTGAAATTGATGAGATTGGACGTGGAGGGCCTGGTGTTTCAGAGCTGCAGGGTTGTCGTTTAGCACCTGCCACACGTATTTATACTGCAGACTGGTTTTCAGGACAAAGTGAGAAGCACATAGCCTGTCATGTCAAAATATCTCTCTGTGGTAAAATGAACCAGTCGTGATGAAACCCTAACATGAGCTCGCAGCTTGCCTGCCTGGCCTCTGATAGCTATCTAGGAATTCCATCAAAAATACAATGAATTGAAAACTCCTAACAGAAATCTGTTAGTGCTGATGTCTGGAACACAATAAATGCAGCTGACTAAATCGAAACAAAATACATGGGGGAAAAAATCAGTGATGTTAAAGTGTTAAAAAACATATTTTTTAATATGTGGATGTATAATGTGGATATATATTTGAAACCAAGTCTGGCGGTAAAAATGCATACCAATGTCAGATTCATCCAAAGGAAACCCCAATAAAGGAAGAAATGACTCAGACAGAACAAAATAAATCACAGAACAGTGATTCTCCAGTAGTTTATATAGCAGTTGCAACCTGGCATTAAAAAGGTTCACAATTCTCTCAAACACTATCTAGCAACAGAAAAAAAAAGTTTTACTTACATCTTCAATACAATTTGTCTGATATGTCTAATTTTTCAGATATTTTGCTTGTTCTCGGACGTTCACTATGGTGCTGAAGATATGTGATTTGGGGATCATCCTGAATCCTTGCATCTGACAATTACCTCTAAGTGTAAAATGACATGAAGGGAAGACCAGGGCTTGCTTTATACCTTCCTGAAATCTGACAGACTTGATGTTTAAGGTTTGAAAATCACAAAAAAAAAATGATAGGGTATTGTCATTTTTTGTTCTCCGTATAGGTCAGTAGAGGAATGTTCACCCATCTTCTCCTGCAATAAGATGACCTGAGATAAGGTATAGGCAATTACCTAATAGAGAGAGAAAAAAAATTAAAATCAAGAGGTGCGTCTATACGCACAGCTCTCCTTCTAGAGCATAGGTTGTGTAGGAATCAAAGCCATTCATTTTAGTGGCATCCATTTTATTAAGGACATGAAACACATTCAAAACGCATTAATAAAAGGTATAATGCAGGCCAAAAGGTGTTAAAGCATTGTTTTAGCACCTTTTCAAGTCAATATTAGAAGCTAGAAGATCATAACATCTGCCCTCACTGAGCCCTGGTCTCGCCTGTTTTACACAGCAACAACATGACAATAGGAGGTCAACTTCTGGATTAGAAATTAAGGTGAACAAAAAAACCCTATGCTTTTTTTTAACTAGCATTTTTTCTTTGCAATGTTTCTGTGTTAGGTGACATCCACATCTGCACATAAAAAGTATATATATATTTTGTATTTATATAATATATATCCATACTCTATTGACAGATCTGTCTACAACGAGCTTAAGAACCACTGATTTTCTGGAAGAAAAAAAGCTGATTTTGCAAATGTCTATTTTACAACATAGCGTCAACTAATTGTACATCTTTGGAGGGGAAGTAGCTGTCAAAGACCATGTCCCTCCTTGTTACAGTGTGAATGCTGTCGAAACACATTGTTTTTAAAAAAAAAAAGCATTTACAAATGGGCGTTGATAGAACCAGTGACTTGTCGTTAAACGTAACTTCAACAGCAGCTCTACAGCACCTCTTGGGTCAGGGATTACTACATTTGGCACATAACTAAGCACAGATCACTCAATGGCTTGTGGAATGACCAGTCTTCATGTCAGTACAGTTGGGAAAAAAAGAGAGAAAAAATTGACAGATAGGCCTGAAATTGTTCTTATTATTGGTGGTAAACTCTGTCCAGGCAGTGATGACTCTGTTGTCAGTTAAAAGTAGTTTTCTCGCATAGAAAATGGGGGGCGGGTGGGGGGGGGGGGC